GTACTCTCAGCAGTGTCCATAAGGAGACATTCTGCGGTTCAGGATAGGTAAAATTTCCTGCTTGTACAAGTGCAACGATGTGCAAGCTCAGAGACCGTTCCTTTTCCGCCGGATTGGTAGTGGATGACGAAAAGGATGCGGCCGTTATAAGCTGAACGAACACCACCTTAGAAGGTGGGCTATCCATCTGATTCGGAAAATCCTAGCGATCCTTCATCCATAAACCCAGTTTGACGCGTTGCGTTCATTCTGGGCTAATCTCTGTTGCCTCCGTCGTCTTCCTGTTACCTCCTCCCTTTTCTCTAGTACCTCTCCATCATAAAGCAGTGTCTCGCGTACCTGTAACTTCACTGAAATTGTGGATTGGCCCTTTTATGTATTGAACTGCATACCTATATTGCAATAGCGCCCTCCTTGCCTTTGGTCTTTCCCGTTGAACTGTTTCGTCTTTTTCCCAGGACGCGGTTAAGGACAGTCGTGTGTCTTTTCCGGCGCAGTTTGGCTTAGTGGGGGCAACAAATGATACGCAGTGAAACCTGTTCAGGTCACCTTGTAAAGAAGTGGAAATTCTAGTAATCTAAGTGGCACTCGTATCATTTCGCAGCTGTATGAGCGTTTACAGGTCTCACCAAAATGAGACCTGCTATTTTTGAATCAACAAAAAATGGGACAACGCAGAATGCTCCTCTCGAGCCGAATAGTTCTTCTTTTCTTTCTTGCTTTCTTAGAACCAGTGCCAGATTTTTCCCCTTCGCAGACTGCACTTTGCTCCTCTGCACCTAGCCTTTGCGATTGAGATAAGAGCTGGACTGGGTAGATATTTCGGTCTCCTGCCCTTTTGAGAACTTGGAATTCATTCCATTGATTTCTTTGTCCGTCCTTGTATCGCCAGATTGCTCTCGTGTTCTTCCGAATGTTTTCACTTCTTTTTAGACTTCTATCAGTTTAGGTATGCCTCGCATTGAATACGAGCCAAAACTCGACTTCAAGGACGTTTTACTTCGACCCAAGCGTTCCACATTGAAAAGTCGCGCTGATGTGGATCTTGTCAGGGAGTACGTAACCCCTTTTCTAGCAATTCTTTAACCGTGAGGAAGAATTCACACGATATAAATGCTTCACCAGTTGCAGTTGCAAGATCTCAAGGGTAGCACGAAGCACGAAGGTGCTTAGACAGCGTTCATACTTTGCGTCAGCGTTTTAATGTCCGTTAGCGTTTTTAGCAACGAGAAAAGTGTAAGTACGATCCAGCGTTTTGAGCGTCTGGCTGCATTTTTTTGCGCAGTTCAGCGACGAAGAGGGAGAGGGGCGTATTTTACATTCCGGTTTACAAGTCTCACTCTGGTGAAACCTGTGAACTCTTGTGAAGCTGGAGCAAGCTCGTCGAGCCACCATGGTAAAACCTGTCAACTCTTGTAAGCTCATGAAATACCTCAGATGGGTCGACACGTCGATGGGAAGTAGCAAAAGTGCAAAATGCCCCCCCCCCCTCCCCCTTTCATCGCCGAGCTGCCTCTGTAAACGCTCGGAACTCTGGATCGACACCTATACCTCCCTTGTCGCACAAAACGCTGACGAAGGTTCACCATCTCCTTTTCAAGGGTTAGGCTTACAAGGCAGTGATGCGAAGTCGCCAGTCAAGACGGGAGAGGCGTTATCGCATGTATCCTCCAACTGCTAAAAAAAATGCTGAGATTTATTGACAACATTATCCGTTAATTGAGAGGTCTCCTTTTCAGAGATGTTTTTCGTAACTCGAAGAAACAGTACAGTGGAATACCTGTGATCGCTTCGAATATGGACACAGTTGGCACGTTTGAGATGGCAAAGGCTCTCTGTCCCCACAAAGTCTTCACTACCATTCATAAACATTACACGGTTATTTTTTGTGGACTCTTGAAAGCTTTGTGTTTGGGTTATAATGTTCCTGAGCGCGTAGTCTGGGGCCACGCGGCAACTACTCAATGTTCCATTCCTTGTCCAGGGAATGCCTAGCAGAGAGCTGACAGAGAGTGCTCACCCCTACCTCCGATCTGTTAAGGGCCGTCCATTGTTACATGCTTTGCGCTTCATTGGGCGGTAAGGTAATCGCAGGGGGCAAACGGCTGACTGAGCCGTTGCGACGGTCATCTATCTTTATAGGCTTGAGGAAAGGATGTAGTATCCGCACAGATGAGGTGGAGAGCACAAACGATTGAAGATATCGCGATCCGTGATAGAAGAGGTTCCCTAGGGTTACGGTAGAGATGAGCTAAGCTTCATGGTCACTACTT